AGAGATGGCTCAGAGATTAAGAGCACTGACTGCTCTTCTGGAGGTCCTGTGTTTAATTCCCAGCAACCATATCATGGCTCATGCCCATCTGTAATGAGATCCAGTTCCCAGAACACTGTGTACATAATAAATAAAATAAATCTTTTAAAAAATGGCATTCAGGTGGGCGGTGGTGGCTCAAGCCTTTAAATCAGCACTCGGAAGGCAGAGGATCGCTGTGAGTTCTAGTCTACAGCGTGAGTTCCAGAACAGCCAGGGCTGTTACTTAAAGAACCTTGTCTCAAATAAACAAACAAGTAAGGTGCTACCAAATTATTGTTAAATCTACTTTTATGCTGTGAAACTTTAATTACCATTAATAAATGTTTCCTGAACTCCCTTGAGGGTTGGAGAGTAGGATATTCGGCATTTTCAATACTTATTTGACCGTGGAGTCAGTCCCTCAGGATTTAGTTAAGAATAGCCTCCGGGGGCTGGAGAGATGGCTCAGCAGTTAAGAGCATTGCCTTGTCTTCCAAAAGTCCTGAGTTCAATTCCCAGCAACCACATGGTGGCTCACAACCATCCGTAATGAGGTCTGGTGCCCTCTTCTGGCCTGAAGGCATAGACACAGACAGAATATTGCATACATAATAAATAAATGTTTAAAAAAAAAAAAGAATAGCCTCCGGCTCCTGATGCTTGTGTCTCCACTTTCTAAGTGGATTACAGGTGTATACCACCTGCCCGGTGAATCCACTTCTTTAAGTGATTGTTGTTTCAGAGCACATATGTTGGGAAACTTGGTTACACAGAAATTTCTAGGATACCCTAATGGCAGAGCACAAAGTAACTGTATCTGTGTGCACGGCTCCAGAAATGGGAAGCAGGTGAAAGAAGGCATCCTGTGAGCATGTATCAGAGAGTCAGAGGTACACACAGCATCAAATTACGGTGAAAGAGTTGCTTCCTGTGTGTGTATTTCTGAGGCAGGGTCCTAATGTAGCCAAGGCCGTCCTAAAGCTTTGTTTGGTTTTTGTGTTGAGAAAGGGTCTCAACTAACCTAGAACTCACTATTTATACAGGCTAGTTTTGAACTCACAATGATCCCCCTGATCTGCATCAGCCAGTGCTGAGATGACAGGTATGCAGTGCCAAATCCCTGAATTTAATATATCATCAGTGATCATATTCTAGGCCATCTAATAAAAACCTGAGTTTGTAAAAATATAGCAGCAAACATAGACTATCATTGCAAAATACATTATCTGCTGGGACTGGAGTGATGGCTCAGCAGCTAAGAGCCCGTGGTGTTCCTTCAGAGGACACACCATCCACATGGCCTCAGAACTCTCTGTAACTTCAGTTCTGGGAATCTCACACCCTCTTCTGGCCTTGAGCACAGTACACACACATGTAACACATACATATATACATACATACATGTAAAACACCCATACACAGAAAATAAAAATAATTTAAAAAAGAATTACATTTAAGATTAGTCATTAGCTGTTGTAGGCTTTGCATCTGACTTTAGTCTTTGCCTGAAGCACCTTTGTAGTTACTATGTGTACTGTACGTGGCTGCATTGGATTTCAGTATACTTGGCCACATTTAAGTAGTTCTTTCAGAACCATTTGTTTGGTCAGCACTTCAAAATAGCTAAACTTTATTTAAGTGGAGGCAGAAGAATTCAGGGTCATTCCTGGCTTTGTAGTAAATTGGGACAACCTAAATGAGCCTGTGTCTCCAAAAAGGAAAAACAAAAGGGAAGAAAAAGTAGACGGAACTTCTAATTTTTCTCTTGGCTAATTTAGGAAAGATTGCCTCAATCATGGTATCTTCCCTTCTTTCTTGTTAGGTCCTTTTTCTGTGAGATATGAAGAGGGTGCTGGGAATTGAACCCAGGGCACTGTAATCCTGGGCAAAGGCTCTACACAGAGATACATGTCCATCACTCTTGAAGGTGAAAAGCTGATCACAATAGAGAGGAGTGAGTTAGGGGAGTTTCCCAGGCTGGGTGGCAAGGATAGGATTTGTAGTGAAAGTGAGATTTGGGATAGATGACATTAAGAAAGAAGCTTGGTGTGGTGGCAGGGGCAGGTGGATGTCCCCATAGACTGTCAGTTAAGGAAGACAATTCAGGGGCTGGAGAGATGGCTCAGAGGTTAAGCGCATTGCCTGCTCTTCCAAAGGTCCTGAGTTCAATTCCCAGCAACCACATGGTGGCTCACAACCATCCATAGTGAGATCTGGTGCCTTCTTCTGGCCTGCAGACACACATATAGGCAGAAAACAGCATATATAATAAATAAATAAAGAAACAAGAGACGGAGAAATACCTAGAAGTATTTAGAAAGCGGAACTTGGCAGTTGAATGTTGTGGTTATAATTTAGAGGAACATTTAGAAGATGAGTTCTCTACATCTTTGGTGGCTGGGAATTTGGAAATAACAGATAACGAGAGCAGGTTTGAACTACATGGCTTTGGCGTCTGTAGGTCGCCAGGAGAAAAAAAAAAAGAATTTTGCTGGGATTTTGATGGGCTGTTCTGTCTCTTTATCTTTGTAAAGATACTTGTTTTTCCATTTCTTTATTAGTATTTCTCTATGACCCATATTTCTGTTTAATTGGATGTTTTGCCTGCATGTATGTCTATCTATGTACCATGTTAGTGTCTACAGAAACCAGATTAGGGCATCAGATCCCCTTGGTCTGTGTGAGCTGCTGTGTGGGTGCTGGGAATCTAATTCTGGTCCTCTGGAAGAACAGCCAATCGCTTAACCAAGGAACCATCTCTCCTGCCCTCACTTAACCTCTTTTTCTTTTTAAATATTTGCTTATTTATTTACTGCGTGTGTGTAAGTGCCTGAATATGTATATACCACGTGCCAGCACTATTCAAAGTGTGGTTGTAAGAGATCTGTTGTAGTCACAAGCAGTCGTGAACCTTGGTCTTCTAAAGAGGAGCACTTGCCCTTAGATGCTGAACCAGCATAGACATAAAATAGTAATATTATCATGCTAAAATTTGCCCAGTTGTTCTGCTACCAGGCTAACAGCTTTATTTTGATATTGCCACATTTAAATCAGCAATCCAGTGGTTGGGAATGTAGCTCATTTGATAGTGCTTGCTTAGGGTGCTTCACATTTGATCCCCAGCTCCTCATGGGCGGGCGGGGGGGGGGGGTACACACCTGTAATTCCAGTGTGAGGGAGATTCATATTAGAGAGGCAGGAGGTTTAGCTCAAGGTCATCTTTAAATAATATATTGAGGCCTGTTTGGAGACCATATGAGACTCTATTTCAAGCAAAATGAATAACCCTCATTTTTATTATTATTAAGCCCTTTCAACTTCTCCATAGTGATTTGGGGAAAAAAAATCCTATCAAACATTTCTATTCCCTAGTGACTAAGCATTCAAATAATATGAGCCTGTAGGGGCCATTCTTTTTCAAATCACCATACCTTGTCTCAAAAGAAAAAGGCGGGAGGGAGAGAGAGAACAGAAAAGAAGGGGATGGTACACATGTATGGTGCATGTGCATACATACAGGCCAAAAAACATTTTTTCCCCCCAACACAGGGTTTCTCTGTAGCTTTGGAGCCTGCCCTAGAACTCACTCTGTAGACCAGGTTGGCCTCAAACTCACCTGTCTCTGCCTCTCAAGTGCTGGGATTAAAGGCGTGCACATCACTGCCTGGCTTAATAAATCTAATTTTTTTGTTTGTTTTCGAGACAGTTTCTCTGTGTAGCTTTGGAACCTGTCCCACAACTCGCTCTGTAGACCAGGCTGCCCTGGAACTCAGAGAGATCCGCCTGCCTGTGCCTCCTGAGTGCTGGGATTAAAAGTGTGCGCCACCCACTGCCACTCAGCTAATCTAATTTTTTAAAAATAGCAAAGAATGGTACAGTAAAAGCATTCATTTAGACTAATCCTAATTTTGGACTTTTTTGAATGCATGTTCTAGAAAACTAAATTAGGTAGAGAAGAGAAAATGAGGGATTTAGTAATAGTAACTTAAATAATTATCAAATACTCTCAAATTAATAGAAATAAGTGAATCCTAAAAGAGACCGAGGAGTTGGAAAATGAACTGATGTCTGATGAAATTGTGAACCAGTGTAATGGGAGTAGGAGATTATCTGAAGAGAAAGCAATATGGGGGAGATCTAGGAAGTTACTGAATTTGAGATTGAAGAACCCGTGGAACTGTAGAAACACAGATCATCTATGTGAATATTGGAATTGGAATTGCCCAGCATGTAACAGTGAACCTTAGGTAGGCTGAGCCTTGGAAAAGCTTAACCTTTATGTATATATGAAGTCAAATTATCCCCAGAACACTCAGAAAATTAAAATAACCGGCAAATGGGAAGACTTGGACTTTTAGGTGTTAATGTGAGTGGTGTTTAGATTGGCTGATTTAGGGATTTGTGTATAATACACTATTAAACATTATTTACACGATTGATATATGATTAGAATTCAGTGTTGTGCTTGGTATTTTTGTAGCAAGTTGAGTTTATTCAATTCTCTGTCTCTGTCTCTCTCTCTTTGTGTCTTCACAAATAATTGGAGAAACAATTTTGTCTTAGTGTCTCTAAAGCCACTAAAGGATTTTTTTTCTTTTAGTGCCAAACATCTACAGAGTGAGGTGGTCTACTTGAAGAGTAACTTGAGCAGAAATTTAACCTCAAATGGTTTAGGGTTTTAGTACATTTGATAAGTTAACCCATTAGTTAATTGTTTATTTGTTATTCCATTCATGTAATTAGTCCATATGAAAACAGTTAACTGAGGCTGGAGATTAGAGGTTAGGAGCACTGACTGCTTTGATCCCTCTTCTGGTCTCCGTGGGCATTGCATGGTTTGTGATATACCTACAAGCAGGCAAAACACTTATAAGCTTAAGATAATGAAATGTAATTTAAAAAGTTAGCTGTTTGCAAACAATATATTTGGAACAACTTTCACTAAGTATAAAAACTTTTTTATTGTCTTTCATCTCCAGCTACATATCCCCACCGTTTGAATCTCTTTTATCTTGCCAATGATGTCATACAGAATTGTAAGAGGAAAAATGCAATCATATTCCGTGAATCATTTGCTGATGTGCTTCCCGAAGCAGCTGCTCTAGTGAAGTAAGTAAATCTTTACTGTTCTTTGGGATTTAAGAAAATTAAAAATTTTTCTTTTCTTTCCTACTTATAAGGAAGAACTTGAATAATTGTGCATATTTCAAGATCCAAATAAAATATTTTGTTCATGGTCAGGAGTAGTGGCACTTTCTTTAACCCCAGCATCTGGGGAGCAGATTCAGCCAGATTTTGAGGCCATTGGGGCTACTCAGTGAGACCTTGTCTAAAAAAGGCAAAAAAAAAAAAAAAAAAACAAAGGGGGGAATCCAATTCTTCATCTCTCTCTCTGTACTCATTTGTAATTTAATTTTTAGTGTTCTTCAACTTACAGATTTTTTTTAAAAAAAGATTTATTTATTTATTATGTATACAATATTCTGTCTGCGTGTATTCCTGCAGACCAGAAGAGGGCACCAGACCTCATTACGGATGGTTGTGAGCCACCATGTGGTTGCTGGGAATTGAACTCAGGACCTTTGGAAGAGCAGGCAATGCTCTTAACTGCTGAGCCATCTCTCCAGCCCCCCAGATTTTTTTTTTAAATAATGAAAGAATCTCAGCCTAAAAATAGGAGAAAGCCGGGTATTGCTGGTGCACGCCTTTAATCCTTATACTCAGGAGGCAGAGGCAGGTGGATCTCTGTAAATTCAAGGCCAGCCTGGTCTACAGAGCACAGAGCAAGTTCCAGGACAGGTGCCAAAGTTACACAGAAAAACCCTGTCTCCAAAAACCAAACAAAACGTGTGTGTGTGTGTGTGTGTGTGTGTGTAGAGAAAATGGAAGTATCATTTGTTTGTTCCAGTTAATAACCCCCTAGAAAATATCAGAGTTAGTGTTTTATAAAAATTTTGTTTTAAAAGGCATAGTCTTGCTACATATATACTCTAGCCTAGCTTTTAACTGGAGATCAGCATCCTAGTTGCTGATCTTATAGGCATATATATGTATGTATATTTTGCTTGCATGTACGGCGGTATGTGATCAGGCTGAAATCCTCTTAGAACATGTGTTGTAGTGTGGAGCTGATTAATGCTTATTTTTCAGTAAACTTTATTTTTTTATTTTTATTTATTTATTTTTTAAAAACCAACAACTTTATTTCATGCACATTGGTATAACGATGTCAGATTCTCTTGAACTGGAGCTACAGACAGCTGTGAGCTGCCATGTGGGTGCTGGGAATTGAACCCGGTCCTCTAGAGGAGCAGTCAGTGCTCTTAACCACTGAGCCATCTCACCAGCCCCTTCAGTAAACTTTAAAAGGAAGACAAACCCAGTATTTCTTTCCTAGTAAAATTATTTTGGGTTTCGTGTTCTGTTTTGTTTTGGTGCTAAGGATGGAAGCCAGGACCTTCTGTATGGACACTTGGTAAGCCCGTGCTCTGTCACTCTGCTTCTTCTCAGTTCTTAGCTTTGTTAAAGTGTATATGTGTATATGAATGCTGTGTGTGCACGTGCGTGCGCATGCGTGTGTACACATACACACCCCTAGTGCTATTAGAGGCCAGAAGAGGTCACCAGATCCTCTCAGACTGGAATTACAGACTGTTGTAAGCTCCATGTGGGTGAAAAGAACCAAACCAGGTCCTTTGCAAGAGCAATAAGTGCTTTAAACTACTTAGTCTTCTCTCCAGCACTGTTTGTTTTGTTTTTGATTTATCTTCACATTTATGTATTTATGTATGTGTGTACATATGCCACAGTGTGCATGTGGCGGTCAGAGGACAACTTTCAGGAGTTAATTCTTCATTTCACCCTGTGGGTCCCAGTCATCATCCTTGCTCTCCCTTGTTATTTTTTTTCTTTTTTTTCTTTTTAAGACTTATTTATTAATTATGTATACAGGGTTCTTCCTGTATGTATGCCTTCAGGCCAGAGGAGGGCACCAGATCTCATTACAGATGGTTGTGAGCCACCATGTGGTTGCTGGGAATTGAACTCAAGACCTTTGGAAGAGCAGCCAGTGCTCTTAACCTCTGAGCCATATCTCTTTTTTAAGGTGTGTTTCTCACTGTAATTAACATGACTTCAAACTCATGATTCTTCTGCCTCAGCCTCCCATATGCCGGGGTTATAAAGACTACCCCACGATAATGCCATCGACTTTTGCTTTTTTGAACAATCTCTTTCTTTAAAAAAATTGTTTTTTTTCTTTTGGTGGGAGGTTGTTTTCTTGTTTTGCTTTTTTTTTTTTTAAGATTTATTTATTATATATACAACATTCTGCCTCCATATCTACCCGCACACCAGAAGAGGGCGCCAGATCTCATTACAAATGGTTGTGAGCCACCATGTGGTTGCTGGGAATTGAACTCAGGACCTCTGGAAGAGCAGCCAGTGCTCTTAACCACTGAGCCGTCTCTCCAGCCCCTTGTTTTGCTTTTTTAAAGGCAGGGTTTCTTTGTGTAGCCCTGATTGTTCTGGGAATCACTATGTGGACTAAGCTGGCCTCAAATTCACGGAGAACCACCTGCCTTTCCCCCCAGTGCTGGGGTTAAAGGTGTGGGTTTCCAATACCTGGCTTAAATTTCTTTCTTTCTTTCTTTTTTTTAAAAAATATTTATTTATTTATTACGTATACAATATTCTGTCTGTATGCCTGAAGGCCAGAAGAGGGCACCAGACCTCCTTACAGCTGGTTGTGACCCCA